TAGGATGCTTGGAAACGATCACAGCTTTGCTCTTCACAGGTAACCCCTATAGCAGACAAAATATAAATTTTATTAAAATCATATTAATAATTAACCAAGACAAATCATATTAAAAATACTAGATAATCCACCAAAAAAAATCATATTAAAATTACTAGATAATCCTTAAACCAAAATGACACCCTTACTAAACATTGAGAAATCCTAACTAAACATATAAAACCATAATAACATATATATCATATAAACATTGAGAAATCCATCATAATAACATAATAACATATCAACATATAAAACCTTCACTAAACCTTCAATAAGTCATTTCTACACAACAACAACACTAAAATTTACTTGCATGCATGTCCTCAAACCTTCAATACAAAACAACAATATACGTATCATACTTGAACGCAACAACAAAAATAATTACTCAACAACAGTATACGTTATCAACACTAAAATTTACTTGCATGTCCTCAAAAGAAACATATCTACACAACAACAAAAACAATAGTATACCAACAATGGTGAAAAGAAAAACCATCAATATTTAGATAACAAAAACAATAGTATACCAACAACAAAAACAATAGTATACCAACAATGGTGAAAACAAATATTTAGAAAAACCATCAAATACCAACAATAGTGAAAAGAAAAACCATCAATATTTAGATAACAGTATTAACAAAAACCTTCAAAACCTTTAATGTCTTCAGATACCAACAATGGTGAAAAGAAAAAAAAACAAGAAAATCCCTTGAAACTGTCACATACCTTAACAATGGTGGAAATGCAATGCAGACGGACGAATGCACTCGAAAACGGACGGAGAACGGACGGTGAACAGACGGCGGGCGACGGTCGGACGGAGAATGACGACACTTGAATAGGGCAAGTTCGTTTGCCAGAGGAGAAAGACAGAAGAAAAGAAATGTACGCGACTGTTCTGTTTCTCTTAAAATTCTGGAGGGTATTTAAAAATTATAATACTAATACCTATAGCAGCGCTTTTAAAGGCCTTTAGCAGCGCTTTTAAAAGCGCTTTCTTAGGGTGCCTTAGCAATGCCATATAGCAGCGCTTTATAGAAAAAGCGTTGCTAAAGGGCCCCCTTTAGCAACGCTTTTTAAAAGCGCTTTCTTATGTCCCCCTCTAGGTCCCCCTTTAGCAGCGCTTTTAAATGCCTTTAGCAGCGCTTTTAAAAGTGCTTTCTTAGGGTGCCTTAGCAATGCCATATAGCAGCGCTTTATAGAATAAGCGCTGCTAAAGGGGGACACCTTTAGCAGCGCTTTTTAAAAGCGCTTTCTTAGGTCCCCCTTTAGCAGCGCTTTTTAAAAAGCGCTTTCTTAGGGGCCCTCTTTAGCAGCGCTTTTTTAAAAGCGCTGTCTTAGGTGGGAAATTTTTTTTCTTTTTTTTTTGCCCACCCTTTAGCAGCGCTTTTTAAGAAGCGCTGCTAAAGGGTGCGCTGCTAAAACTCATTTCTGGCGTAGTGCAACAGGGTTTGCTTACATGCCTTTGGAAGAGGCACTTTATTCTCTGAAACTCCACCCAACCCATGGATTTATGTGGGACAGAGAGATTATGGGTGAGATGATTTACGACACAAACATAATCCGACCAACAAGCTGGGGCGACGAATTTGATGACGATGTCTGAATTCGACGCGCTGAAGCGAATTTTGGCTTACGTAGCCGAGAATAGATTAAAAGCGGCCTTAGAGGTCGAAATACCACACATGGTTTTCGAAGCCAATGAGATAAGAGTGTTCAACGTGAGTCAAAGGATAAACATTGGACCTCAACATATCGAAGACAATGAGATAGAAGTGTTTGACGTGAGTGAAAGGATAAATGTTGGGCCTCAACCAGTCGAAGAGTCGCAATCAGTGGGCTTGGAAAATGATGGTCTAAGGACCAGAGGCTCGATTGCATCTATGACGATGAGCCTTTGGGCTTCAAAAATGATCCTGTAGTGTCTCCTACAAAGATGTAACCACAAGACCCACTTGAAGAAATTGACTTGGGCGATGGAACTACCAAAATTTTTACTTACATTAGTGTCAACATTGATCTGAATCTAAGGTTAGAGATGATTAATTTACTTCATGAATTTAAAGATTATTTTTCTTGGGATTATAACGAAATTCCAGGTTTGAGCAGAGAATTAATGGAATTAAGACTGCTAATAAAGCCTGAGAAAAAGTCGGTCAAGAAAACGCCTAAACGGTTTGTACCAGAGGTCATGTTCAAGATAAAGGATGAGATCGAAATACTCCTGAAAAAGAAATTGTTGAATCGGCACCACATGCATATAGAGTTGAGTTGTGAGTCTGGTTTAGAGTGGGGAACACGACAAGCATGAATTGAGTCGATGTTGCATTGTATTACATGATAATGAGATGTTTGTCTAATGATATATACTCTTGTATGATTTTTGCAATTGATAATTGACTGTGATGTGGGTGAGATGTGAATAGATGGTGTTGATGTGCATTTATGATACGTGAGCGATTTTGTATTGTGTGAATCTATCCTGATTATTTATGCATCATTTATTATTTGAATGTATTCTCACCCCTCTTTTTGTGTTGTTGCGTCTGTACTCCTCTGGAGTACAAATAATCATGTATCAGAGTAGGAGTTTGAGATTGAGTACGATGTTGCATCTCTTTAGTTGCTTGTCGTTCGAGACTATAGTTGAAGTCACTCTGATATGTAATACGAGGGGACAAGTTGTTCTATTATTTATGTTATGTTGCATATCTTCATTTGTTTTTAACATTGAACCATTTTTCAAACTTTTGGTTGTTAAGACTTTTATACCAACTATTTTCTAATTTTCCACTTCTTATCAAATGGTTTAAAATTTTAATTATGTAGTTCAAATATAAGTTGTTTGTTGTTGAGTAAAATCTTACTTAGAGAATATTCATAATATACATGTTTTATTTATTTATTTATTTGTCGAGTCGGGAAGTAAGAGTGTTAAAATATTACTGATTTTCTAGATCAATTTGGTGGCTGAATATGATTTACACCTCACTCCATGCTTCAAATTGTCAAATGTTTTCCCTATTTAAAAGAAAAATATATCAAACATAATTTATCGCTCTCGTATTGACTTGAGCGTTAAAATATTAATTTCATATAAATTCGTTTTCTCTCCATCGTATCGGAAACTCCAAACTACCACAATAAATCATGTTCCTCTATCGTATCGGAAACTCCAAACTATCACAATAAGTCATGTTCCTCTATTCACCGGTTAATCTACTTTCTCTAATGATAATCAAACCTATAAGAAACATAACATTTATTAAACCTTACTATCCTGATCAAATTGATATCTTATTTCATTTCTTTCAAAAATTGAGTGCTACAAAATGTAGGAGATAAATACAAATATTTTAAATAAAAATAAATTGATTAAAATTTGAGGTAGTTCTATTAAAACTAAGTCAATTTTTTTAATAAGATTAAATATATCCAAAATAATTAATCTTGTATTAAAATAATTCTACGCAGAGAGTATGGATCTATTTGTTATGGATTATATATAAAAAAGATGATTTTAATTTTCAACAGTTTAGAAATTAGTTTTTAGAGATTTTTAAAATTTTAAAATAATAAAAGTTATTTTGTGTTTGTTAGTCAAAACGAAAATCACTTTTTTTAAGTTAATTAATTACAAATATTTTAATGAAAAACTACTCAAAACATCTTCTCAATTAATTAATTTTAAAATTATTACTCAGATTCTATCTCTTTTTCAAGAATCTATAAAAAGCAGATACAAAAATATTTTAAAACATATTTTGTTTTAAAAAGAAGTAATATTTATACAAAATAATCTGTAACAAACAGACTGTCAATCATATATATTAAAATCTTGAACTTTTATTTAAAATAAAAAAAATCGGTTTGATTCTACTATGATTAATTATTTTTACAGTAAAATAAGTTTCATTAGAGAAGTAGATGGATCACTAGGGTTGATTCTACTATGATTTTGATCATAAAATACAAATACAGCATTGTTGATAAGGAATTTAACACAAACTTACCAACACATATACATAGTTATGTTCATATAAAAAGTGATGAAAAAGTTGTTTTTTTCATATAAACTTACTGCCAAAAAGTAAACAGGACCACAAGTTATAGTCACATCGATCATTGTTCATATAAGAGGATAGGTTTTGTAACGCGTAAATGAGAAAAGTCATTAAATGCCACATAAAGAGGAGAAAAAAGTTGTTAGTAGAAAACGATGTCCACTTGTCAAAAATCGGAAGAGAAAAAAATCATCTCAATTAGACACATGATGAATGAGATGAAATAATTGCCGACCCAAAATTCTATCTTAATTCACACCACACAAGTATATTTATAACCTACTAGTCAACAATTGCTTTGCTTCAAATAAGCCCTTCCTCGCCGCGTTTTTTTTCATATGAAAAAGGTTTAACATGATAGGTTCAACTGAAATGAGACATGTTTTCTTACTTTATTAATTATAACATAAATGATTCCTTGGTAACGTAATGGGATAAGCAAAATATATCTTGTTCTGTTGATAAGTCAACATATCAATTTTGAACATAAAAAGCTTTTCAGTTTTCAAGATTTCTTACAATAGATAATGAATGTTGACTTTGTCTTTTTGCAGATTTTTCATGATAGTCTAAAAAAGTAGGGTATAGTGAATTGAAATTTTCTTTAGAGAAAGTGTGGACGTTATACTGTTAGAATCCACCACTAATAACAAAGCAATATATGATAATCATAATTTCTTATAAATGATAAATATTTGCTTACAATCAAAAGCTTGAAGATGCACTGGAACAAAAAAAGAACCAGGGCAAGGAGTAAGCTAAACTATAATTGCTAGATACAAACGCAAGACAAATAGAACAGCATGGTACAAGTTAGAAAAACTATGATAAACCCACCATACTAGTACTAACAACAACCCTAACAATATTTAATAATGGTCTATCTCAAGTCAACATAAGATCATTCCCTCCCAGATGAGGTCGGAGGCAAACCCGGACTTCGTGTTCTTCTGGTCCGACGCGATGTTTTGGCACCATGATTTCTAGCACTGATCCTGGCTCGTCATAGTATGCTTCCAGATTTGCATCTTCAGGGATTCTGGTTGAAAGAGAGATTTCGCGGACAAACTCTCCAGGGGGGCAGTGTTCTGAGGATGCATCTGTAAGCTTGAATGTTCTATCGCGTCTCTTGATGAATGGCTTTCGAGATGTGCTCATACAAGAAACTTTGATGATACCGTGAGTTAGAGTGTTCCTCCATGAAACTTTCACACTTGCAAGGTCTACAAAGGGTAGACTGATGATAATCAAGTAACCTTGTTCATCCTCGTAGATAGTTTTTGCGGCTGTTACCGGTCCGTATACATTCTTTATCACCCCGCTGAAGTCATTCAACCAGTGCGGCTCACTTGGATGCATTTCTATATCTTGGATCCGATCAGATGGAGGATTAACAGCAAGGTAACATTCTTCATCGTTTAGGTTTCCGTTTAGGTTTCCATTTAGGGTTCCATTTCCGTTCCCGTTTACATGAGGGAAAAAGTCTTTTCTCTTTTTTCCATTGGCAGAAGGTAGGTCCAACAAATCGCCGTTGGTGTGGTTAGACAGAGAAGTTGACAGATTCAGCCCAGACCCATTAAGCAGCTTCTTAGGAGGGTGTCCATTTGCAGCACTCTTGATTGAAGGAAGAGGTCTCTCAAGCTCAAAGTCCGTGTTGGGGAGATTTCTCCACGAACTAAAATCACTTGCTTCAGTTGGGACTGTGAAATTCAAATCTCGGCCGGTGAGTTCAATCCACCTTTTCCGATCATCCTCGTCAAGATTCATCAGATTGGGTGAAGGATAAACCTCAATGCCATGTACACACTGAGGGTTCGAAAGTCCTCTATAATGCTTCCTTTGCATCCGGTGTGATCGAACAAAACCTTTGTCAACGCTAAAAGGAAACGGACGCTCCCCTTGGCGAGAATGACCATTCATGTAACTCCTCAACTGCATCTTACCCAACGCATTCTCAGGCCTCTCCTTGAAAACCCACATGTACATATTCTCCATATCATGTTGAACCATGAAAACATCAAGATTGAGATCCGATTTCTCAAAACCCGAAATACCATTTCCGTCCCTGATAATCTTGGCCTTCGATTTATCATTCAATGACGGCTTAAAGTAAAAACTAAAGAAAAACCAAGCACCCCATATGCTATCAACTCGCTTAGCACATTTTCTTCCAACCTTGGGCAAAGTAAGAAAAGTCTCCGTCTCATACCCTTGAGTACCAAGACCAACATCCAAAATATCACAAGGATCAGAATTCCACGACTGAGGCGGCGGACTACGTTCAGCAGAAAGAGGCAAATTAATATCGGGTGGACGAGAAAGTATGATCTGCCGATTCATCTCCAAGTCCAATTCCTCGTGAGAAGACGCACTCGAATCCATAGACAACAACGTTGAAGGGTGATGATTCTGATGATTCTCCATTGACAAAGAAGCGAAACAGGAATCGCCAATGCTACCTCATCTTGTTGATGAGTTCTATTATTGCTGGTTGATAAAATATTGCCATCCCAAAAACAATTCAACAAAATAACAACCTTATAAACACCTTCATCATCAAATCAATCCCCACTATATCTCCCTTCCATCAAACCCCTATATTTATCAAATGAATTTGAGAAAAAAATCAACAAATCCAAACTATTTAAAAAAATATTTTTTTCCTTCAATTTTCTCTATAAAATTAACAAATCAACATACTCAATACCAAGATCATATATATAACATCTCTTAAATCTGTGCAAATTTTGAAAAACCTAAAAAAAAATTATAGTTAACCCTAATCCTAGTATCTGATTAAACCCTCCAAAATCAAGAGAAAAACAGTGAAAATGAATCAAATCCATAAATTTGAGATAGATCTTTGAAGGATTATAAATACCTTTTGGGATAAGCTTCAGAGAATCGAGAAGAACAGGAGCCACCACAGCCAGCGAAGACGGAGCACATAATATCATCGACAACCATATTTCTACAAACTCTCCAGGTTAAATTTGTATTTTTTACTACTATTGTTAAATTTTATTTATTTATTACATTAAAAAAAGTGATTTTTCCCCCAAATGGAAAACCCTAATTTTGTGATAAGGGGTGTGAAAAGAAGAGATTAGTGAGGAAAAGAAGAGTGGAGAGAGAAAGAAGAAGCGTAAATAAGAGGGTGATTATAAGGAGAGGTTTGTAGGTTGAAGCCTTCACTGGATAATACCATTCTGCTTTTGGACCACACCGTTTGTTTACAGTGACGGTGCATCTTCGTATGGATACTTTATCATATCAGCGTATATTATTAGTCTTCAATTTTAACTTGTCTTTGTATTACTACCAATAAAACCAATATTATCCCCTAAATAGTTCCACACACGTCCCCCACATCTTATCTTAGTAATGGACTATTTTGTCATTTAATTAAAATAAGTAAAACTATTCTATTTAATTATTTTTACGGATTTTAGACTAAATTGTTTGTTGTGGATAGTTGACTGGAATATGGGGTAGTAGTTAGGATTTAAAAGTATTATTCTAAACCGAATCGAAATATATATAGTTGCTTGTAATCGTAGAGTAAATAAAAATTATAGTTGTTCTATGTTCGTAGATTCAGACACTATTGATTAAGATTGTGTTTATTGTTTTATATGTTTGTTTATCTTTAATTTTTATACTAGTTGTTGTTCTAACCATTGATATTAGACGACGACTAACTCTGATGCAAAATTTGAGGTGACAAGGTTCGACGGAACAATTAATTTTGGATTTTGGCAAATGATGGTTAAGGATCGGATGGCTCAACAAAGTCTACAAAAGGCGTTGTGTGACACAAAACTAACCGACGTGAATGGTACTGTTCTGGCTTGGGCCCCCGCTTGACCGGGAAGGCCCAACCCATTTATACTTGATGAAAGGCTCAAATGAGTTCCCCTCATCTGTGTCGAGCACGAGGCTCCCGTCGACCAGGCATTCCCCGCCGGGCAGGATGCTTCTCCCGTCGGGCAGAAAGACGTGTACCTCACACGTTCTGTAACACCCCAAATCTAAACTTGCGGATAACAGAAAAAAAACAACAATTCATATAGCAAACAAAGCGCAGCAGCGCAAACATTGACTACATGACGGTCGTCACACGGGCAAAATTCCTCATATCAGAGATGTTACACTTCAACCTGTCAGACAACAATCATTATGCAACAACTTGCAAATATCATACGTAGCACGAAATTGGATGAACAATCACCAATGCATTACTTAACCATTTAATCATAAAACAACTCGTCATTACTTCCGGTGGAAGTTCGATAAAGTATATAACATGTTCTCTTAAAACAATTTAATAAAAACATCGTAACAAGTTAGATCAACAATAACATCGACTAAAATAATAACAGCAATCGTCCATCCCCCCAAGAGTGCTACGTATCAGAGCGACCAACGACACCTTAACGGGAACTACGCTCTATTCCTGACTACCTGCAAATTACCACCAGAGGAGGTAACATACAACGAAAAAGGGTGAGATATCAATAATATAACATAAAACATGATAGAAAACATGCCGGAAACTCATCACAGCATTATAGGCTTCGAAATCATAAACATCATTGACAACAACTGCGGGTAATCCATATCTCACATAAACAACATTAACATACAACTAGCGTAATTATGCGACTTCATGCGACTCAACAATGCGACTCAACTGTGCATATGCATGTGGTACCATTTAGGAGCCAACACTCCAAAACTCGGGACAGGGCCAACACCCCGAACCCATCTAGGAGCCAACACTCCAAATAACGCTAATACAGGCACAACCGTCGCCAATCCAGGCCAAATGCTATGCCATGAAATGCATCTATTATGGACTACAACACAACTATAGCAACCATATAACAGGGCATTACGTCTACAACCAGAATGTCCATAACAGAGCATCATAACATTATACCACTCATACAACCATCACTTTCTACCCGTTCACATACAGGACAATGGCAACATAATTTCAACATTTACGACTATTCATGTAAAGGAACATTACAACATCGTACCAACAAATAGGAACTCAAAGTGTTCATCCAAAACGGCTATTCCTATACAGGTATAACATCAACATCAGTTCAACAATTAATCTTTAACATCTTATCGTAATAACAACATTACGACATCTTCTCACATAATTAATTACAAATAAATCACAACCAGGAAACTGTCCTTTTTGGCCAATTAGGGAAAACCATTAGAGCGTTGTACGAATAACCGTATAGCATATTCGTTCTACGTATTTGCCCATAAGGAAAACCTTAGAGCATCGCACTAATAACTACATAACACATTTATTCCTACATAGAAATCTGGTCGGAAACCTTTTCCCTAACATTTATCGATTAACGAAAACTATACCTATGACTCGATTCCTACATGAATTCGAGCATACTCCCGGTTATAGAATTGAACCCCACCCTTACCTTAGAATTAAGGTCAATTCCACGCTCTCCGGTTCCGCTTCCGCTCTACGGTGAGTTTTCTACATAAATCCTCCAAATTCGCCGGTGGTTGATTCTTTGCTCTCAACTTTCCTCAGTGCGTAACTTCTCTTTCCAGTCTTTTCTTTCCCCAAATGGTGTAATGGAGGGTAAAAGAGTCTATGGGAATATATTTTTGCTACCCACTCTCAGCCACGTCCAAATTCTACATTTAACTGAATTTCGTTACTATGACGGTCGTGGCAAGTCCATGACGAGCGTCACGGTCGTGGCGGTCGTGGCAAGTCCATGACGGTCATCATATCAGAAGAATTCAATTTTTTTCAATTTTTTTCTAGATAGAACATCTCTTTACCTTTCCAACGCTTCAAACAGGGGTCAAATCCGACTTACGGATCAAGAGATATGATTTTTCGAAGTTTCCTAAAACTGCTACGGAATTTTACACTTTTTCCCGACAATTCGACCGATTCAATTCCTTCCTTCGATCCAAAGACATACTCAACTATGACTATGACGCAACGAGACATAGCAAAGTCATAATTGAATTTAATCAAAATAAAACGGGCATTACAACTCTCCCCTACTTACAAGAATTTCGTCCTCGAAATTACCTTAATCAAACAGCTCGGGATAAGACTCCCACATCTTGCTCTCTAGTTCCCACGTCAAGCTTTCGCCAGCAGCTCCCAACCAGACCACCTTCACCAAAGCAATCTCTTTACCTCGTAACGTCTTCACCTCCCGATCATCAATTCTTACAGGCTTCGTCTCCACAGTAAGATTCTCACGTACTTGCACATCGTCCATGGAAATGACATGCGACAAATCTGAAATATACTTGCGGAGCTGTGACACATGAAATACATCGTGTAGATTCGACAAATTTGGCGGCAACGCCACCCAATATGCCACCTTTCCAACTCTTTCCAATATCTGATACGGACCAATGAAACAAGGAGTAAGCTTCTTAGATTTCAAAGCTCTACCAACACCGGTCACAGACGTGACTCTCAAAAATACATGATCTCCAGCTTCAAATTCTAAATCCTTCCTGCGCTTATCATGATAAGTTTTCTGCCTACTCTGTGAAGTTCTCATCTTTTCTCGAATTAACTTCACCTTCTCGGTAGTCTCTCAAACAATCTCCGGTCCGAGTACCACACTCTCTCCCGATTCATACCAACACAACAGAGTCCTACACCGCCGACCATACAAAGCTTTGAATGGTGCCATTCCGATACTAGAGTGATAACTGTTATTATAAGTAAACTCTATCAATGGAAGGTATGTATCCCATGAACCACATTCCTCAAGTACACATGCTCTCAGCAAATCTTCTAAAGACTGAATAGTCCGTTCAGTCTGACCATCTGTTTGAGGATGGTATGCTGAACTCAACCTCAACTTAGAACCCAAAGCCTCTTGCAGACTCTTCCAAAACTCAGAAGTAAACCGCAGATCTCTATCCGACACAATACACAACGGAACACCATGCAACTTAACAACCACTCTAACATAAATCTCTGCCAACTTCGATACTGGAAAAGTGATGTTAATAGGAATAAAGTGAGCTGACTTTGTAAGCCTATCAACAATCACCCAAATAGAATCACATCCTCTCAAAGTGTTCGACAAACCCGTTACAAAGTCCATTGAAATGCTATCCCATTTCCATTCTGGAATTTCTAACGGTTGCATCAACCCAGCAGGTTTCTGATGCTCAACTTTCGACTTCTGACAAGTCAAACACGCATACACAAAGCGTGCTACATCACACTTCATACCAGGCCACCAAAACAGATTCTTCAAATCATTATACATTTTCGTCGCTCCTGGATGAATACTCAACTTACTTCTGTGACTCTCTTCCAGAATTGCTTTCTTTATATCTGCATTATTAGGAATGCAAATACGACCACGAAATCTCAACACTCCTTGCGC